CCTTTCCCTCGCGTTCCTTCTGCCCTCCATCCATACCCCTTGCCCCACAACCTCATCTTCCCTCAGTCACTGCTTTTGCTTCTGGGAAGATCTGTAGCCTAGTTTGGGGGATTGTATCGAGGACCTTCTCCCCGAGTCCAGTGGGCTTTGTGAGGAGGGGCGGGGAAGGGGCCCCTGCTCTGGGGGAGAGTGTATGGTGTGGTGTGTTCAGGCCTCTGGCCCCAGAGCCAGAGGCGGCCTGTACATTTGGTGAGCAGAGTGCAGCTGTGGAGATGCTGTTTCCTGCAGGCTTCTACAGTAGATGGGCCTGTGCATCCGCCTCTCATGTGGCCACGGGTGGGGCTCAGGCCCATGCTGGTGCATGGGTGCCTGGGGGCACGGGTGCCCGGGAGCATGCAGGGAGGGATACACTAGCTACCCTGGCTACCTCTGGTTTGGGGCACCTGGGCCTTTAGGTTTACCTCCTCCACCCCAGGTGCCTCCTGGGAAGTATGGGCATATAGTCCTCAGGGGAGGAAGCGCTGGTGCGTTTGGGGGCCTGGGCCTCTCTGGTGAGCAGTGCTGGGTCCTTTGGGCTTTTGCCCAGTTATCCTCGAACCCTTTACTGGCACAGCATGTGACCTGAGCATTTTGTACTTAAGGCCCCCTCATCCTGTGATGGGCAGATTTTGTCCCCTTCAGACAATCCCTCTGGGTAGCTCAGGAATGCTCCTTGCTGCTTTGCCCAACTTTGGCCTTGAGTGGTCCTGTCAGGCCCCCTTTTGCTGCTGGGATGGATCAGACCACCTGCTGGAGGTTGCTGCACCCCCACTATCCAACCAGGGGTTCCCGTGCCGTGTATCCCTACCAGGTCCCTGAGGGGTAAGGTCCATATTTTAACATTGGAGCAGTTTCCCCTGCTGACCACATGGGTTTTCTTTTCCTGTTTTGGTTTTGCTGGAAGCAGAAGTCATCATCCAAATGCCTGTCTCTTAACAAGAGGAGATGTATACGGATGACACAGGGTGGTCTGAAACAGGGCCTGCTTGCGGTGGCTTTGGGGCGCCCCGCCCCGGTCACACTCCCAAAGGCCTGAGCTCTCTGCTGGGTGGTATGGCAGGAGCTAGAATCTCTGACCAAGTCAACCTAGCAGTTTTGTTTCTGTTTTTTTTTTTGTTTGTTTGTTTGTTTTTGTTTTTTGGGTTTTTTTGGTTGGCCAGTTTGGGAGGTTCTGCAGGACTGGGAGGCTTTACTCAAAATAACGCTGGCTGATTGCCGTGTGAGGCCAGTTGTTCTTCCATTTACTGAGCAGCAGAACTGAGGCAGTAGGAGATCCTATATAGGCCATAAGACATGGCCATCTTGCAACTTTGGCATCAAACGGGGCAGGAGAGAGGACAGTAAGGTGTCATCCAAAGAACACTAGCAGTCTTGGATAGCTCGGTGTGCCTGTCATTTATTTTGTGCTAAAACATCTTTCTAGGGTCTGTTTGGGGGTGAAACCAGAGCCATCTCCATGGTTTTTAAGGCAAGTGTGCATGCCATTCAGGCCAGACTCCAGACTTGGGTGTGCACCCACATACGTGTATGTACAAGCATGGGTGTGTATCCTCCCAGCTTAAGTTTTAAAATAGACTGGGAAGCTTAGTGCAGTGATGGAGACACTGGGGACCCTGGTGGTGACTAGGTCCTAGAATGAGATGAGGACAGGAAGGATTGGGAAGCGAGAGTAAGCTCACCTACAGGTGTCTCGAAAAGGTCCTTTTGTCCCCCAGTCCTAGTCCCGCTATTCCGTCTGTGCGCCATCATGTTAGTAGACTTCACAGCAACCTTGCAGCTGCATTTACTTCTGTTTTGCAGACTGGGCAAACTGGGGCTCAGGGAGCGTAGGTGTCTACCTGGGGCAGGTGCACGGGAAGGGGAGGAATCAGGCTTAGAAGCAGACCCCTTGCCTCGCCTGCTCACCCATGGCTCCAAAGCTCATTTGGTCAGCTCCTCTTGCTCCCTGGGAGGCCCCTCTTCTTAGAGATGAGGGTGTGGGAAGCCTCCTTTCACTGGGATAATCTGGGTGACTTCCCTCACAGCGTTTCCCTCCTTCAAGGCTAGGAAGACCAGGCTGAGGGAGAAATACCCCATTGGGGTTCAGCTGTGGGCTCTCTGAAATTTCTCAACTGCTCCTGACCTCTATTTTGTCAGCTGCCACTCATGGAGGTGAGGTGAAGAAGGGAAGCGACAGATAGCCACCCGCCCTGGGTGTCTGTGGTCACTGCTTTCTTTGGGGGATGCCTCGTCCTGGTGAGGCAGCCATCTGGTGAGGGGGACACAGTGGGAACCTTGTCGCTGCTGGCTTCTGAGTAGCTCCCAGAGGAGTCTGAGCATATCCACAACCTCAGCCCCCCGTTTCCTCAGAGTGGGGCCAGGGCCTGACCTTGCTTTCTCTGGCCCTGCTTCCCAGGAAGGTTTCAGGTCGGTGGGTTTCAGAGGCTGTGTTGGGTGCCGGTCTTTCAGCCAAGACCGGGCAACCGCAAAGTCGGGAGATGGCGGCAGTGGGGGAATGTTAGTTTCCAGGACTCAGATGGTCCTGGATTTGATTCCTGGTTTAGCCGCTTACCAGCTGTGTGCCTACGGGCAAGTCGGGACACCTCTCTGAGCTCTGGCCTCCTCATCTGTAGAATGGGGTGGATGGTGTACCTTACAAGGCTGCTGTGACAATTACAGTGAAGTGAGCCAGTGCGCAGACAGGGTGTGACTCGTGCCTGGCACGGGGCGTGGGGGTGGGTTGGTGTTTGACAGCTCTATGAGCTGTTCTTTAACGTCCTCATCACTGTGACTGTTACTGGCTTTGTCGCCCTTCTCTGTATGTACGTCCATCTTGGAGCTCCTGGAGGGCAGGGCCTGGGTTCTAGTCCTCCCTTGGCTGCTTGTCCTTTTCTTGACGCCTGGGACCAGTGTGGCTTCGGCCGCGAGGAGCAGCCAGGTGGGGACACTCCTGTGCAGGCTGGAACTAGAGCCCACGGGTCCCAGAGGAGAGTCATTAAGCACAGGTGGCCACTTACACTTTAAATGGCTTACTGGGACATGAAATCAGAAAGCCAGTTTGTCAGTCACGCAGGCCACGGGTCAAGGGCTTTTAGGAGCCACATGTGGCCGGTGCCCATCTATAGGGCAGTGCAGAGTAGAATCTTTCCACCATCACAAAGCTGGGCTGAACTGGACTCCGAAGCAAGCCTGGAGCTCTCAGGGGACTGCAGTTCCAGAAGCATCCTCACTGTGGAACAGCCGGCAGCCGTCTCCTGAGTGTTGGGGCAGAAGAAGTTGGTAATTATACAGAAACTGAGTTCCTGAGAGCCCTTCCCATGTTCTCTTTCTGGTGGCCTTGCTCACCTGGCTGAGGCGGTTGGTGTCTTGGTAGTTCTTATCAGGCCAGGGGTAGAAGGGCAGGACTGGGATTGCCTCTCTTCCCCTGCCCTGTTTCTCCAGCTGGTCCTGCCTGGCAGGGAGTCCTGGGGGGAGGGTCCTCACTGAGAGCTTTGGCTGGGCCCTGACCTCTCCCCCTTACCACCTCTGGGGTCCTGCCCAGCCTCCTCCCCTCCCCTCGTGTGCCTCCTGCCTTGTGCTCTCCCCACGCCCCTTCTCCTTCCTTTCTCTCCGGGCCCCACTTACATAGCTGGGCTCCCGGGAGGCCTTTTCTGATCCATCATGCGAAGTGAGCTCTCCTGGAAATGCTCTCTCTTGGACCCCATTTTCGGCACTCAGCCCTCTCCCCTGTGACTTCACTCTCTTGTTCTCTGAGGCAGGCACATCCAGCTGGGCTGAGTGCCAGCCAGTGGGTGCTGGGTAGACTGAGGGGCATGGGCCGCCAGGCCTGCTCCAATAGCTTTGGGTTGGTGGGAGGCCCATGGTTGCTCAGGTCGCTCCATCCAGGCCAGCCAGTGCTTAGCCAGAGACGGAGCCAGCCCAGCTGGGCACGCTTCTCCAGGAGGAGGTGCTGAGGCTGAAGGGGCCAGGCTCTAGGCTGCGGAGGAGTCTGTGAGCACATCCAGAGGGGTCTGTGTGACCCGAGGAAGGGACAGAAATGTCAGGTGGGGAGGGAGGCGAGGAGAGTGCGGGCACACGTGGCAAGAGGGAATTTAAATTTTATGGAGGGCCTGTCTGCCTGGTGACGTTAGGTCCCATTCCTGGAGGCGCGGCTGGATCCAAGCTGGTTCCTCGTCTCCCAACTCCAGAGCCTGGCAGGCGGTGGGTGCTTGGAGACGGCTGTGGAACAAGTGAACATGTAAAGGGCTGGCGTGTGGGGCCTCTCCCTCCCCCTGGAGCCTGAGCTGGGAGTCAGGAAACCCGTTTCCCCTTCACAGCTGCCAAGACTGAGTCCCAGAGACAGGACAGTTCAACAAGGCTAGGCCCGAGAGGGTGGGGGAGGGTGCGGGGGAGAACCCAGGGTCCTTCCCCGTGCGTCCTCTATTCATTGTTTGTTCATCTCACAGCCCTCCTTGGAGCCCCAGCTCTGTCCCAGGGAGGCCCCACTCCAGAGCAAGATGGATACGGACAGTTTTAGGAGGAACCAGGCTAGTATTTGCCAGTCAAGCTTTACTGGTTATTAAAATACTGCAATGCTCCTGGGCTGGTTGACTAAGAGCTGTTGTCCCAAAGCCCCCGCCCCCAGTGCTGCAGTCCCCACCCCAGGGTCCCAGCAGACACGGCCTCTCCCCTGGATTCCCGTCTTGCCAGGTAAGGCAGCAGTAAAGACTCAGCAGCTGGCGTGGTGGGTGGTCTCTGGGACCTTGTGCGAGGGCTGGTTCTAATCGCTTGGTACTGTTATCAGAGATTTGCAGGGACATCTTCCAGTGTAATGTGTGCTGATCTTGATTTTAAGTGTCTGGTGTCCTCATGGCTCTGGGCCATCAGGCAACCGGGGCTGCAGCTGTCCTCCCAGCGTGCCTAGCTCCACGCAAGCCCATGGCGGTGTCCAGCTGAGGTACTGCACACAATTCAGCTCCATTCCCTCCCTCTCTCTCCTGCAGGCCACCATGAGCACCAGCCGCCCCGAGCCAGGTGTCCGGCCACCCTGGAGCCCCCGCCCACAGCCCCTGTCCCGGAGCTCGTCCAGCCTGCTGGGTGAAGGCCAGGGGCAGAGACCAGAGCTCCGCAAGAGTGCCAGCAGCACCGTATGGCAGGCCCAGCCGGGTGAGGCCAGCAGCAGTCCACAGGGCCCAGAGGAGGAGGAGCAGCACGCTGAGAGCGAGGAGCAGGCACAGGCATCCAGCTCCCGGCCCCAGCCCCGTGCTGTGGGCCACTGGCGGAGCAGCACTATGGGCAATGTGTCTACCGTGGGCGGTGGTGATCTGTGTCGCCTGCGGGCCCCTGGTGCCACTGCCATGCAGAGGAGCCACTCGGACCTGGTCCGTAGCACCCAGACCCGGGGTCGCGGTGCTACCCAGAAGGCCAGCCTCAGCTGCTCGGCCCTTGGCAGCTTGCCTGTCCACAGAGCTCGGCTGCAGCCCAGCCGTACTTCTGGCCAGGGAGGCCAGGCCCCTGCCGACCTAGAAAGGGACCTGGCTCCAGAGGAAGGGTCTTCGAACTCAGCCTGGACACTGGGAGAGAGTCAGGTGAGGGTAACACCACCAGACCTGGGAGGGACATCTCCCCCCAGCAGCAGCCCCCAAGCTGGACCCGAAGCCACTGGGCAGCCGGCAACAGCCTCCTGCCATGCCCTGTCCACAGCAACTCTACTATGCGGGATGAGGGAGGTGGGGACCAGTGGCTGCTGCCATGCCCTGCCAGCCCCAGGGATCCTGGCCTTCCCCAAGCTAGTGGCCTCTGTGAGTGAGTCTGGGCTACAGGCACAGCATGGGGTGAACTTCCAGTGCAGATTGCCTGGGGTGCTCCCTGGGCATTCCCACTGTTGTGCCCACCACCCTTGGGGTCCCACCGGGTTAGCCACGGAGCCTGGTGCCAGGACCAAGGATGTGTGGACCATGACCTCAGCCAGTGACTTGGCCCCTGTGTTGGCATCCTCTCTGTCATCCCAGGATGCTGGTGTGCAGGCAGCGCCCATGGCTGTCTGCAAGGCTGTGGCCACCAGCCCGCCCCTGGGAGGCCCTGCGGCCCTGCACACATTCCCTGAGGTAACCGTGGGGGCCAGCCTGGAGGAGGCACCCTCCCCTGTGCGGGATGTGCGATGGGATGCTGAGGGCATGACCTGGGAGGTGTACGGAGCTGCAGTGGACCCCGAGGTGCTGGGCGTGGCCATCCAGAAGCATCTGGAGATGCAGTTTGAGCAGCTGCAGCGGGCGCCCACCAGCGAGGACAGCCTGTCAGCAGAGGGCCGCCGGGGGCCGCTGCGAGCCGTCATGCAGTCCCTGCGGCGCCCCAGCTGCTGCGGCTGCTCTGGTGGAGCTCCCGAGTGAGGGGCCATGGCCCTTGGAGCTCTCCTGGGCCCTTGGACTCAGCCTCAGGGCCCGGGCCGCAGGGGGTGCCATGCTTCTCGGTCCTACTGGCGGCTGTGGACATGTCTCTGCTGTTGGCTGACCACAGGGCGCAGGACCACAGCCCGGAGGCCCCCTGCTCCTCACAGCTGGGCTGGGTTTTAAGGGCTTGATCCCCATGAGCCACATCTCTGCACATCGAGGCTCTGAACCTTGGGACAGACTTTCAGCACCGTGCAGGAGGAGATCCTGATTCTTCTGTAAAAATACTTGACATTCTGTGTAGTCTCTCCTCAGAAGTCTGCTGCGATTTCCCTGAGGGCTCTTGGTGGCTTTATTTTAGAGCTGAGCTATCGTGCTGAGCTATAACGCCTTCCTGACATGAAAGTTGGGGCCTCAAGTGACAGGGACTGGCTGGGTCTTTAGGGCAGGGCATGGATGTTGAAGACCGCCTGTGTGCCCCCCACTGTGTCACCTTACCCTGGGGAGTGCCCGCCTCTTTGCCCCATTATCTGGATGAAACCATGGACACCTGGCAAGGCTGTAGCTGACAGGCTCCGGGCTGGCCTGCTGGAGGGGGTGGGCTAAGGTTCAAAGCCAAGGCCGGCTGAAGGCTGCACTCTTTTCCCTGCAGCACATGGCTGGTCAGTGCAGTGCAGTCACGAACCAGAAGAGTTTATTGAGTCACTATTCTGTGCGGGGTTCTGTGGGTTCCTTGGGGAATGAGACAGGCTGTCTGTACCCTTGCTGAGCTGACAGTGTGGGGGAGGTGGCACATCAGGACCAGGGTGCTGAGCATTACAGAAGGGCCGGGGGTGCTACTAAGAGTCAGCCCCCTTGTTGTTCATCGTGGCAGGAGCCAGTCTCAGGAAGGGGAGAACAGGTGGCTCGTTGTCCCCAAATATCTTGGCAGGGCCTGAAATTGCACCCTTGTCACCTCATTCCTGTGGCTTAATGATTTATTCCCAGCTGGTGCTGTCCTTGGAAGGAGGGAAGGGAGAAATGGGTGGGAAAAGGGAAGGGGCCTGGAGTGGGGTCTTCCACCTGGTGGGAAATGGCCAGAGCTATGAGGCCCTGGGGAGCAGGGAGGCCCATGGGCCTGTTCTCTCAGCTGTGCCCATGTGAGTTGACCTGGGCCAGGCAGTGGGGAGCCGGGGATATGGGGTGAGGGAGCTCAGGACACAGGCTTGGTACAGCCTGACTTCATTGCCTGAAGGTCTCTCAGGCACTGTGGAGTTTGGGGGCGGGCTTGTGTCGTCATCTTGGGCTTAACATCGAAGACCTTAAGCTCCTGGGACAGTCCACCAACTTACTCTTAAGAGGCTAGGGGGCTGCTCAGGGTCCCCTGCCCTGGGGTGGAATCAGGGCCCAGATGCTGAGCATGGTGTTGAGGACACAGTGGGGCTGGACAGATGGACTGTGGGGAAGGGCACACCAGGCAGCTGGGACCGTCTGGTCAGAGACCTGGAGATGCCCGTCCTGCTCAAGCTGTGGGGAGCCATGGTAATGCAGCCTCTGTTGGAGTGTTTGTTGGGTTGGGATGCTGGCAAGGGTGCCCCATGGTGAGGACAGGAAGAGGTGGGAGGCAGGGCCCAGGAGATGTGGGTGTACGAGCCAAGGGGGGGGGGCCTGTCAAGGGGAGACGGAAGGAGAGCTGGGGTTTGGGAATGCGCCACACACACACACCACACACCCATTCTGCAGTGGCTTCAGGAAGGAGGAGGAGTTTCTGGAGCCGGAGGTTTCCAGTTTGAGCAAAAGGAGGTGAGGCCACCACCTGAGATGAGGGGAGGCAGGTGAAGGGTCACATGTCAGGATATTTGGCTTGGACTAGTGAAACCCTTAACAGACTTTCTCTGTCATATGCAAATTGGAATGAGTTCATTCTCTGTAGGGCTGATGGGGGCCAACCCGGCCAACACGTGCCGCTTCTAGGCTGCACCTGGAGTGCCAGGATGTCGGGCTGGGCTGGGCCCTGAATGGGAAGGGCCAGCCAAACCTACCCAACTCATAACTGAGATAAATGTTTGCAGGGTGGTGTTTCCAGATGTGTCTGGCTTCGGGACTGTGCATGGCTGGGGACCCCGTCATACCCTCCTGGGTAGGCTTGCCACCCTGGCCGTGGCCCCACGGCTCAGACTGCATAGCCCTGGCCAGTGGGTTTACCTAGTGACTGCAGCAGAATCCCTGAGTTTGCCCTGGAGAATGAACCCCTCATCCCCGTCCCATTGCTGTGGCCCCTCCCTGGCCAGGAACGACTGGTTGTGGTTTAGGGACTCAAGACATGTCCACCCGCTTAGTTTGCAGATCTCCCCTCAGATTCCAGATTTGTGACCAGAGTCTCTGGGTCCCCTTCAGGCCCTGTTGTGGGAGGTGGTGGATTTCATTATTTGTACATTTGTTTTGTTCTGAATTTGAAATAAAGTTTTGGAGATCAGAGCTTTGCCAGGCAAGGGTCCACAGTCCTGGCTGGTCTGGTTTTTCTCTGGTAGGTTTTGTTCTTGGAGCATCCCCCCTAGATCCTGAGCTCCTCCTCCAGGCAGGAATCCCCCTCCTTCTTCTCCAGGGACTCCTCCCTTCTGTCCATTGTTCTCCCCTTCCTGGCAGGGCCCCCCAACAGCCGAAGACTGGTTTCCTGGAGCTTATCACCCCTGGGTGTGGCCAGGACACAGGGCACACATCTCTTGCCAAGCCCCAGGCTGCTATTACCCTCCCAGGCAATCACTGGCCCACCCCAAGGGAGAAGCTACTGCTGCCAGAGTGTAGGCTCCTCCCCACTCCAAGCTCACGTTGTGTATGGGGGGTGCAGATGGTGGAGGAGCGGAGAATGGTCCTGTCACATGGGGACATCACTGCCAGTATCCTCTGGATTGGGTCTCTGTCCCCAGAAGTGCTGCATTCTTATTTCACAGTGAGGGGTTGGCGAGGCAAGGGGACCTTCCCAGTGAAGATCCTGACACTTTGGATCTGGAAGTGTTGCGGGGGAGTGAGGTGGGTGGTACTACATCTCAGTGGTCTACAGTCTGAGTTTGACTCCTGGGTCTCATCCACAGCCAGGAGACCTTGGACAAGTTACTGACCTTGCTGTCCTCAGCTTCCTCATGATGACATGATGACAGTCATGGCTCCTTCTTAGGCTGGCCCTGCGGGTCAAATGGAATAACCCACATGAAGCAGGTGGCACTGAGTTGGGGTTCACCCCCCACACCAGTGTTGTGGGACACCTCTTACTTGGGCCTACTTCTGTGGGCAAAGTCAGGGGCTAGTTCTTGCCTCGCCAGCGTGGCTCTGGTCAAGGTCCACATCCCATCTCCTTGTCCATTCCTCATTCAGATCTGCCTTCCAGATCCTTCACCCTGTGCTTACACCCTGCTTAGAACATGTGTACTCTGGCCATGGCCTGAAACCGTGGTTTCCAGAACCATGCTGAGGAGACTAGTCTGCAGCTGGGCTCCCAGAGAAGCTGGTGCTATGATTCTAGATTAACTGGGGAGTGGGGAGCACAAGGTAGGGAAGGGATAGAAGCCAACAAGGGTGTGATCTCAGGTAGAGTCCTGGCCTTGGCCAGGTCCCGCAGGGGAGCCCTGGGGCACACTCTACCTCAGGTAAGGGCCACTGGGGCCAGGGCTATGCGGGTGAGCTGTGAAGCTCCAGGAGCCCTGGGGCAGGTGTCTGCATGGGGTGTAGGTCCCATCTGAGGGGAGGGGTGTACAGAAACCAGGGACATCTGCGGGGTCTGGGGGAACACCCATCCCCAAATGCGTTCAAAGCCCTGAGCAGCCCCTCACCCAGTAGATGCGTGTGGAGTCTGAGGCCTGCAGAGTGCCCAGACCTTGCCTCCAGGAGCTGCTCTGAAGCAATTGTCTCATTTATGTTCATGCCAAGTGACCTTGGTTACTCAAGTGCAGAGCTTGCATTTGCCCTCACTAAATTCCGTCTCGGTCATCATTCTGGCTTGACCCAGTTTTGTCATCAGAAGCTATGACTAGTCCTTTATCAGTTTCCATCCAACCTGTCAGGCAGAGCAGGGACACACGAGCCCAGGGCCTGTCACCGAGTCATCCTAGAGTTCAGCACTGGTCCCTGGGTGCCTATGAATCAACAGTCATCATGGGCAAATTCATTTAAGGTGAATTTGTGCAAATCTGCATCTTCAACATGGGTAGCACTCTTCTGACTGAAGTTCTGGCCCAGGGACCCTCACATCCAAACAAGGACAGAGGGGAGGGGCTTAACTCAAGTCCTTCCTCTCGGCATGGCTGTTTCTAGTTCTGGTAATCGATGCTTCCCTTTTGAAAACCCTATTTCTGTTTAACAAGCTGTTCTAGAAGTTTGAGATCTGCAGCAAGCTAAGATTCAGACTACCTTGTAACCCCTTAGGAGATTGGAAACTGGCCCACTCTGCATCGGCAGGCCTCCCCTTTATCTTCCTCTGGGCACAAGGGGACTCACCAGTGCACTTCCTTGGAGGTAAAGTGAGGGGGAGAGCATGGCACTCATCACAGCTGGCCTCTAGCACCTTCCTCATTGGGCCTTTCCCTGGGGCTGCTCACCCTTTTTTGCTCAGTCTTTCTGAAGCTGGGTGGGGGTCTCCCCGATGGGTTAGGAGAATGCAGGGCTAGTTTTGTTGCTGTGGTTACACAGAAATAATAAGCCACAGAACATTTCAGAAAAGTCGATGTCTATTAAAAAACCCAAACCAAATCAAAGTTGCATTGGCCTATGGGATTGGGGGTAGACAGCTGGGGTCTGACTCTGGCTCCAAAAGTTGGATAAACATTGCCTTTGCTCTCTTCTGCAGTGACTTTCTGTGACTCATTCATCCTTTCTCCTCCTCCAAGTTGGGGTGGCTCAGCAAGGAGGCAGGTCTGTACCCTGAGATATTGTATCCTGTGTTACCAGATGGGTGTCCTAGAATTCATATCTCATGTCCCCACTTCATAGGAGAGAGTGTGGGAATTGTAGGAACACAGCAGATCTCA